GGGGGGGGGGGCTGGGGAATTCTGGGAGTTGAAGTCCACTCATCTTAAAGCTGCTGAGGTTGAGAAACACTGTCTTAGAATAACTGATCTTGGTAGCTGATAGATGTTGTCGTGTTACTGTGTTGACAACGTTATTAAAGGACCTCAAGTCACTTGCAATCTCCGGGGATCAGATCTGGTTCAGTCACAGATCCGAGATGTGGCCACCTGCCAGCGGCTCACTTCTACGGACAAACCGTCTAGTATCAAAGCCAACTAATCAATGGGCGCAAATCTGCTCCCAGAAACAGGAATATCCAGAAATCTATGGGGAAACATTTCCGTTCTCCACAATTCTCTTGTCACTGACCTTGAGAAAAAGATCTGCAAGATTTGCTCAACAACAAAGCTAGAGTCCATTTTAATGGCATTTTCTGATAGATCAAAGGCAAGTTTTCTTCTCAGTATGTATGTTAACTAGAAATTCAGCGCAGAAAGGTCTGTATCACTAATGACCGCTTTGAGTAAATTTAAATTTGTCGCTAAAATAATTCTCACTTCTCTCACCTCTTGTTTTACTCCCCCTTCCCTCCCAAAGAACAGTTTGAGTATATAACCAGGTCGTCCTCATTCAGTGACCACAATTGGGACCAGCAATGCAGTCATTAAGCAAAGCGGTGGCTAAGTGAACCCATGACTGTTTTTATGATCTTACTTGAGCTTGGCTTGGCTTTACAGACCTGCAAGGGTGAGGATCGGTTGCAAAGTGACTTTTTCATCGCTGTCGTAACTGTGAATGGTCATTAAATGAAGCAGTCACTAAACAAGGACAAGCTGAAATACCTTTTCTTGACACCTGTGCACCAGGAAAAGTAGACTGTGCTATGGAAGTTTATGGGATTGTGGAAAGAAAACTTGAAGTGGCCCATGTGACTTTTCCTTCCTGATGGTTTGGTGTCCCCTGGGATTTTAAGCCAGTAGAGGACCCCAGCAGAGAGATAAAAGAGAATGGCTGAAGGCACAGGATGGGTGTCGGTGGAAGCTGAGTTGGAGCCCTGGAGCCGGTTGTGCGCAGAGGAGGTGCAGCTGAACATCAACAGTTTGGTGGAGGCTCCGAAGCTGAACCACGGCAGACTCACAAGCTCTCCAAAGATACAAACCAATTACAGTCAGCCAGCAGCTAATAGTTGTCCCCTGCCACTGCCCCCCAGCCCTATAAGCCAGTGTTTCTCAACCTCATCAACTTCAAGATGGGTGGACTTCGACTCCCAGAATTCCCCAGCCAGCCATGCTGGCTGGGGAATTC